TAATTAGAAATATCATCTCAATTAATTATGACTTATAATAGTTAAACAGAAAATTATAATTGATTATGATAACTAATTAGAGAATTGTAATTAAGTTATAATATTATCTTTAATTATAATAAATTTAATAAAAAATAAAAAGAACTATTCTATATTTATGAAGCTTATGATAAAGATACTTATAAATTTCAAAATCTAGATAAAAAATCTTGAAAAATTTCTATAATAATAATTACTTGAAGTTATATATTGAGTTTAATAGTTTAGAATTAGTTATTATAATTAATAATAATTAAAGATTTATAGAGTAAATCTCTTAAAGTCAAGAGTCTTATAATTAATTAGTTATTATAAGTAATATAATAAAGTAATATAATATAATATAATTATAATATATAATATAGTTAATGATTATTTTCAAATTAAAAATATAAGAAATTAATTTATTTTATTTATAATTCTATTTTTAATTTAATTATTACTTATATTTAGTCTTGTTTAATTATTTTTAAATATAATTTAGCTATATATATTATATCTAATTTATAATTTTATTAAATTAATAGTTTTCTAATTAGTTATTATTAGTTTTTCTATTTTAATTATAATTTCTTTAATATTTTACTAATTTTAATTTCTAATTACTTTATATTTAATTTAAAAAAGTTTTTTATGATAAGTTTTTATTTATTTTTGAATAAATTAGATAGAATATTATAATAAAAATAATTTATAATTAATATTATAAGAAAATATTATATATAAAGAGTCAAAAAATAATTAAAAAGAATAATTAAGTTTGATAAAAGTAGTTAATTACTAAATTAAAAATAATTAACTAGTATTATTCTTATAATAAATATATATTTTTTATATATTATTTTTGTTTATTTTCTTTTTATTCTATTAAAAAAGTATTTTATTAGAGATAATACTTATATAAATTATCTTATTGAGAAGATAATTAGTTATTTTAATTTTTTAAAGTTAAAAAATGAATAATTACTATAAATATAATTATTATTATTATTTTAAATTACTTATATATATATATATATAATTTTAAAATAATAATAATATAAATTATTAATTATTTAAGATAAAAAAATATTTTAATAAATAAAAATATTTAAGATTACTTTTAGACTAATTTAAATATATTATTTAAATATTTATATAATTAAATTATTAATAAATTTTTATTTAAACTATTTAAAATTATTTAAGAATTAATATTAAAAATATTATAATAAAATTAGTAAAAAATATTAGTATATTCTTAATTTATAATATAAAAACTAATTTTTTTATATAAATTTAAATAAAAGAATATATTAGTTTTTTTATAATAAAAAAATAAAATATTATATTTTTAATTTTTTTATATATAATTATATTTATCTTATATATATAGATTTATATAATTATTTTTATAAATTATTTTTAATTATATATATTTCTTATATATTAAATACTAAAATAGCTTTATATTTATTAAATATATTTTTTTTAAAGTATTAAAATTTATTTTAAATATATTATAAGATTTTTAAACTTTTAAAAAAATACTATTTATATAATATTTAAAATTTTTAAAGATTATCTTATAGATATTAAATATTATAAATTAATACAAAAAGATTTATATTTTAATATAAAAATTAATAATTATTTTTAATAAAAATGATTTATATTTTAATTAATCTTTATAATTTTTTTATATTAAATAAAAAATAATTTAAATTAACTTTTTATATTATTTTAATTATTCTATTATATTTTAATTTATTAATAAATAAAAGATTATTTTATTAAAAAAAACTAAAATAAAATTATTTTTTTTAAAAAAAAGATATTTTAAATATTATTTTTATTAATTTATAATATTAAAACTTCAAATTATATAAGCAAATTGCTTTAAATTTGATAAAATATATATTTTAAATTTTATAAAAATTGAATTAGTAATTATAAAGATATTAAGATTCAAAGTTAATTAATTAAATTATTTATTATATAATTTTTATAATCAAATTTTATATAGTAAAATTTAAGAAATAATAATTAAAAAAAGATATTATTAATAAGAATTTTTTTATAAAAGATATATAATAAAATTTTTATATTTAAATAAATTTCAATATTTAATAACTTAATTAAATAAGATAGAATTAAAAGTTTATTTTGAAAAAATAATTTATTTAAGATATAAGTCTTTTTATATCAATTCATAAATATAAATAATATAATTAAAAGATTTAAATTTATAAAAATTATTTTTAAATATATTATTAAAAATAAAATTTTTTATAAATTAAAATGACTTAAAATAATTTAAAAAATAATTAAAATAATTTAAAAAAGACTTAAAATAATTCAAGAAATAATAAAAAAACTGAGAAAAATAAAAATAAATCTTAGAAAATATTATTTTAGAATAGAAATAATCTTTTTGATATTTATCAAAATATTTTTTAAATTAATATTTTAAGTAACATATATTAAATAATTTTTTTATATTACTTATTATATTACTATAATTTTTAATAGACTTACATAAAGTTAAGTTAATTTTTTAATTATAATAATTATAATATAAATTTTTTATATAAATTTTTATTTATATTTATTATTTTATTAATTATTTTATTTATATTTTTATTAGATAATTATTTAATTATATTTTATTAAAGAATAATTAAAAGATAATTATTAATAAATATTTATAGATAATTATATAAATATAATAATTATAATAAAGCTATTATAGTAAAGTTAATAAAATTATTATAGTTAAATTAATAATATTATTATAATAAACTTAATATTATAATATTAGCTAAACTAATATTTAAAATATAGTAAAAGTAATATAAATATTATAACTAAAATAATATTTATAAAATTTCTAAAATATATAAAAATAATATATCTTAATTATAAAAAAAATAGAAAAATAAATAATTAATTAATTATATAACTAATAAAATAAATGACAAAATAATAATAAAAATATAATAATATTATGAATTAATAATCTTTATTAATAATAATATTTTATGAAATTAATACTTATTATTATATATATTTCTTATATTATAATTTCAGATCATATTCTAGTTAATTACATTATAAATATATTCTTATTATCTATTTTTAACTTTATTATAATTATAATCTAATATTTATTATATTATATTTTTGATTATATTAATTTTTCTTACTTGTAATTAATAATATCTTTATTATATCTTATATTAGTTAAATATTATATATAAAATTATTTATATTTAATTATAACTTTAACTTTATCAAAATATTTTCTTTTATCTTATATTTTATAAAACTTTTTAACCAAGTAAATTCAAAATTTAATTTATTAATATATTAAAATAAATTTTTCTTAATTATATTAATAAATTAATTTTAAATTTATTTCTTAGTTAAGAAATTTATTCAATTTATAAAATATAATAATTAATAATTTGCATTATTACTTAAAAAATTTATAAAAAATATAATTATAATAATAAATTAAATAATTTTAAAATCATTAAAATATTAATATATTTTTTATTATTTAATATATAAATTTATATATATATATATATATATAATAATTTTTGATTTTAAGTTTATTTTAATTATAATATAATATTTCAAAATATAATCAAATCTTTTTATAATTACTATTATTTAAAATTATATTTCTTTATCATTATTCAATTTTTCAATTATTAATATAAATATAATTGAAATATATTTTTTATAATTATATCACTTTATAATCATTTAATTTTACTTTTCAAGAACAGTGATTATAGAAAGATTTGACTATTTTTATTAATATATTTTATTTTTTAATATTATTTTAATAATTAGAATTTCTAATGAAAACTTATAATATTGCTAATTCTTTTAATAATGTAAAGAATCACGTATTTAGCAAGAAACCTGATATGATTTTCATTCTGATTCGGCAACATTATATAAAGATTTTGCTAACTTTTTTATTCTTACTACAGTACAGTCTTGCTTAGCATTTGCTAACTGTTTTTATAATGTTTAACTATTTAAATTAAAAAATAGCTATAATGAGCATATAGGTTTGAATGTTTAATTTCACGAGGTATTTGCTTGTTTGTAATATTTTTTCGTATTCAAAAAAAGATGGAATATTAAAAGTTATTTTGTCATCATGCATTAAACTTGTTTATTTCGCCTTACTAACGCTGATAATACATTATTAAATAACTTGATTCACAACATCAATTAATCAAAGATTGATATTGCATAGAGATACTGCATAGGGAAAATTAATGCTAATGTTACACACGTCTTGGTGTATACACATAAAACAGTCTAACCAGAGAAAACTACCAAAAATGAAAAAAAAATACTTATTGAATCATTACTAACAAATTGGTATCATCGTAGCCACAGCATGATAATTATCGTTATCATTATGGTTTTTTATTGTGATAGTTTTTATAAAAGCTTCGCAAATTTTTTGTGGAATAAGAGAGTTTGATTTTTTTTTTATGTAAAATACTGTATTTATTTCAACAGAATTATTATTATAGATCATTTATAATACAATTTATTTATTGATTGACATAATGTCCATAATGTCACGAATAGAAACGACGCAAATTCAAAGTGAAGAGCAACAAGAACTTTTGTCAGAAGCTCTGAACAGGACAAGAACAACTTCAACAGCTTCAACAAATTCATCATCAACAACAAACTTAATACCACCTCCATTATCAAATAATAATACTAATAATAACAATAATACTACTAATAATAACGATAATAATATTATTATTATTAATAATAACAATAACAATAACATTAATAATAATAATAATAACAACAACAACGATAATAGCGATAATAATAATAATAATAATAATAATAGTAGCAGTAGTAATAGTAATAATAATAATAGCAGCAGTGGTGGTAATAATAATGATGGGAACAATCCACCAAATCGATCGATGTCTCCGCCACCAAGTTACAACATCTCACAATCGAATGCACCAAATACATCAACAACAGCAAACATAAATACAAACTTCTCTGATAGTGGTCAAACTTCCACATCAATTCCAATCACCACAATAGCATTAGGTGAAGATGATGACATTCCACCACCAGCATATCATCGAAGCGATACAAGCCAAACAATCGATGAACCTCTTCCTTCATATCGTGCTTCAATACGAGAAGAGCCACCTTCGTCATCTTCAAGTCAACCACAACCTTTCATTGTGTTAACGGTGGATGAAGAACGACAACAAGCTACGCCTGTAGCTCCTACTCGTGATAATCGGGCTTGGGGAAAATGGACGATTTTCTTGGCTATTATTATTATAATACCTCTTGTTTCTTATATTAAATCAAGAAATTAATACATGTAGTTTTAGACAGATAAATGTTATGATTATTTAAAAAAATCTTGCATATTTACAATATAAAATACAGGCTTTCTCTGGTTGTATGCTAGTTTGGTCCACAAAGGAGAATCCTAATTTTATTTTTATTTTTGTTTATTAATATCGCGAAAATAGAATCTGTGATAAGAAACCAATAAGAATGCGCAGGTCATTTATGTGTCGGCAACTATCAAAGATTGAGACAAAGATTGTATGTGGAAATTGCCATGTTTGATTTCTGGAAAGCTCCCTTAGCGTTAGGGTTTCAAGTCAGTTTTTAGACGTGTAGTTTCGCATTTTTTATTTTTCGTCGGATCCGTTTTGCTGGTTGATTAAAAATTCGTGTAGATTCTATCTATAGATTATTGGTATTATTTATTCATCTTTATCCTCTTGACTTTTTAGGTAATTTAGGTAATTAGAAAGTTCTTCGTAGAAGTTTATTTAAAATTTCAGTAGTACGCGTTTCACTATTGAACACATAAAAACGCGGTGGTGATCTTTTTTTTGTAACTTTACTTTTGTTAACCCACCGTTTTTTGATCGTATTTTTTTATCGAATTTATTTTTGTTAGCCCAGACGTTCACTTTTTTAATTGAATTCACTTTTAAACTATGAGTGGTCCTTTACCTCCAGGATGGGAAGAACGAGTAAGAGAATTATATAGACTTTTTTTCTTGAATATACTTTCGAATCCCCCTCCATTATTGACCATATTTTGTTTACTTCAAATAGTTTGACGAAAATCACAAACGTCATTACTGTAAGAATATAATATGCCATATATATACCTAGAATTTCGAAGTTTCTATATTTTTTCATATTAAAATGGGTTCAAATTGTTAATTTGCAAATTATAGATGTGAACGCGTCTATTCGCGCTACCACATGGGTAAGTTAAAGGGATTAATGATATAATTTTGAAGATAACAAGCAACTAACTGTTTATTGCTATTAATAATTAGTACGACCCACGAAAACATCCTCACGGTATTTTTTAATAACCATTTCAAATATTAAATCTTTTCATAGATAAAATACTAAGATCCAATTCTTCGGCTCATACAGTTAATACAACGAGTCATTACCACCATCAGTCTCGAGCTGCATCTTCACCCGCACCCGCGTATACCACGCCTACCGCCACCACCACCACAACAACAGGCGGTGCGTATACACCCCAATATACATCCTCATATACCGCGCCTACCACACCCGCATATACACCCCAATATACATCCTCATATACCGCGCCTACCACACCCGCACCAAATGCACCAAATATAATAGTGGTGCATCAGCAAAGAGAAAAAAAACCATCAAAACCAACATCCGGATCATCCAGCAAACCACATATATCTGGCACCGCCGCACTAGTTGGCACACAAATCGGTGCTGCAGTGCTAAATACTGCATTAACGGGCAAACCAAATGGAAATCCCTTAATTACAGCAATTGGAAAAATTGCAGCTGATGCATTGCACAATAAAGGAAATGCTAACAACAATGCAGAGAAAGGAAATGATGAGCAAGGAAATGCTAAGCAAGCAAATGCTACACCTGGCCCAACAAATCCGTACCAAGCCTATATGGCACAATATAAAAAATATCTCCAGCAAATGCAGCAACTACAGCATTCAGGTCATGGTCATGGTGCATCACATTTTCCTAATGCTTTTGGTGGCTTTAATTTTAATAATGCAAGTATATACTGGCGTTTTATGATCTACGTTTTGTCATAAATTCTAAAATAATTTATTCTTCTCACAGAATGGCCTGTTTACCGGTCAAACAGCTGATTCATCTTCTGGATTTGATTTCTCGAATCTAGGAAATGATTTCTCGAATTTCTCGAACATGTTTGGAGGAGGAGGAGGAATGAATTTCTCCGGGGGTGGAATGGATTTCTCGGGGGGTATGGACTATTCGAATATGGATTATTCGAATAATAATAATAACGGTTATTTTTAATTTGATTATTTATTATTTGTATTATTTTGCAGTTTATTTCGGACATGTCACTTGAATAGAACCCCCAACTATATGTATATGTATATTTAATAATTAACGAATAACAACAACTATATATTTATTTTATTATAACTAAAATAATAACTAAAAATTTTTGATGATACATAAATGCATATCAATCGCCAGCAATAAAATAGCCATTAAATAACGCGAACAAATATTGTTTCTCAGATTTATTATTGTTATGTTTCCGCCAAAAGTAAACGACAACAAAGATTTTATTAATTAATTATTATTGATTGAAAGTTTAAAACGGTTGCTGTTGCGTTGGCAGATCCGGCTGAATATCAATACCTCTTTTTATTTTTCCCCATCCAATCAATCTGTATTATTTGTGTTTATTAGTTAAACTAGATCTGCTGGGTGAATTAATTTAACATAAAAAATCACGTACCGCCAATGCTTATCAATTCGCCGTGATAATGCAATCTTTTCATCAATTTCCGTGCATGCTGGACTAGTCAGTGCAATTTTAGCTAAATCGGCTTTTACTTGCATTACGCGGCCCCCTGTTGATGTGGATCCGATGTTTACCATGAGTACTTCATTTTTTGCAAGTTTTGATACCTGTAGTCAAAATCAATTGTTATTATACAATTGGGCTGTCTGTCAAAATCAATAAATAAAACCTTTGTTTGTTTCTTATCGTCTGTTTTAACACCAAGCAATCTTCGTAATAAAAAGTAATTTATTTCTAATTCAGTGTAGATTTTCGGGAGTTTACCGACAGCGCCGAGTACTTGACCAACTAATCGATCAGCACGACAAAGTGTAGGATCAATCTTTGTGCCGACACCTTTTTATTTAAATAAAAAAAATAAATTAAATGAAATATGCTCTTTTCTAATATTTGATTCAATCTATGAAAATATTATTCATTTTACACGATTAATTCTCAAGTTCAAATAATATTTTGTCAATATTATTAAACAGCAATAACAATTTTAATAATAATTTTTGTAACAACAAATAATAATAATAATAATAATATTAATATTATTATTGCTTACCAATTAATCCACCCGGAACTGCAAATTGCAAATCATTATGCTCAGCGAACAATGAAACAATCCGTGAAAAGATAGGCCGGCAATGAATTTGTCCTTCATTATCTTTAGTCAAAATCCCGGGACGTACTTCAATTTCATCACCAATCTGTTAAACACAACGGAAATTAGCATTTACACGCACACACTAAATTAAGTTTATGTAAATTACCTTGAGCACTCCTCTCAAAATAGATCCGCCAGCCACACCACCTTTTAGTTCATCAACCTCTGCACCCGGTTTATTAACATCAAAAGACCTGATCACAATAAGGCGCGGATCAGACGTGAAATCACGAACGGGTATCGGAATTTTCTTGACAATGTATTCATTGATGGCATCAATATTGTATTTTAATTGTGCGGAAATGGGAACAATTGGTGCACCATCCGCTACTGTGCCTATTCATGGTTATTGTAGTCATACAAGTTATTAAACATTTAACTAGTGTTTGCATAAAACGTACCATTTTTATGATAACCGAAAATAATTTACCTTTCACAAACGATAAAATGCTCTGATAATGTTCCTCGCACGCAGCTTCTTTGACTAAATCCACCTTATTCTGAAGAATTATAATGTGTTTGAGTTTCATAATTTCGATCGCGGCCAAATGTTCACTAGTCTGCGGTTGTGGGCAAGACTCGTTGCCAGCAATTAGTAAGAGTGCGGCGTCCATCACCGCTGCGCCGTTCAACATTGTAGCCATAAGAATGTCGTGGCCGGGACAATCGACAAAGGAAACATGTCTAATATACAATTAATTAATTAAGTTAAAATGTCAATGGAAATTTGATCAGGAATGAAAATCGGTTTCTTCTTTTTCTAAGATACCTAATCAGATTCATTTTTCCACCACACCCAGGTCGTTCACATGGTGGATGCTCCTCTTTATCACTACGATATGATCGATAACATCCTGGTCTTGGACACTCCTCATTATCACATTTATAGATCTAATGTGAAAGAATTTAATAAAATTAATATGTAAACCATATAAATAATCAGCGAATCAAGATTCATACTTTTGCATTTGCGTAGCCCAATTTAATAGTAATGTTACGTTCAAGTTCATTTTTGAATCGAACAGTCTAGGCGTGCATAAAATCGAAATTAAAGTTAAAATTCAACAGGAAGTAATCAATTGGAGAAAAATTTTAGTAATACGTTATTACCTGTACACCAGAAATGGCTTTGACCACGGTAGATTTACCATGAGCCACATGTCCGATTGTTCCTAAATTCAAAAAGAAAACAAATTATATATCATGGGAGTATTTATTCCTTGTACCTGGTATTCTTGGGGGTGGTTAGGTATTTAAATAAGCAGCTTTACCAATATTAATGGTTGCTTGTCTAGAAATCACTTCGGGTGACAAAGGATTTAAAGTGGAAGGATCCACGATAACTTTTTCCTCTTCGCGCAAAATGTCGATTCCAGCCATGTTTGATGTTAATTTGTATGAATTCTTTAAAAATAATCAGATGAAATCCGAGTTTTAGAGAGTATAACAAAGAAAACACTCGAGGCAGGCAACGATAGATAAAATAATATGTATATATATATATCTATATATAAAATGAGTCATTGACGCTTCAAGCGTAACGTGATTTATGTTATGAGTCATCGACTTATTGTAACATCATTTGATAAAATAGTAGTCCATCAATTTTCAACATCAAATGGACCATCAGCTTTTGAACGAAACTAACCGACACGTAAACAATCCAATTGGGTCAAGCGTTGTTCATAACTACACTTGGGTCATTCCTAAATTTAGTCAAGTATCGCTTCTCACTCCGAAACCTCAATACGTACAAAGTCCAATTTGGGAGTCACCTGTTTGCATCGCCGACGAATTAGGTTACGCATACAAAAAAGTAAGCTGGCGTTTGAAACTTCATCCAAACGGTAATCTCGAGAGTTCACAAATTGGTCATCTGAGCCTCTATCTTGAGACGATATTTCCCAATGATGCACTAGCATCGGCAAGAGTAAACGTGAACTTTTATATTGGTCTTTTGATTCCGGTGCAACACGGTGAGGAACGTGTGCTTCGAGTGGTAAAGAGACGTACAGAACGACACGAGTTTCCAAAGGTGAAACCGGCTTGGGGATGGCCAAATTTCTGCACGAAGGCTTCATTGAACGATAGGATTACAAATGATGCGGCCAGTGAAGAAATCGCTACTTTGTTTCCACATAATCAACAGAATTTCGAAGACGATACGCTTATAGTGCATGTTGTGATTATCACACCTAACCCCGGCAGCAGTGACGTAAACGAAGCACAACTGGAAGAACTGGAAGCATTACGAAGATCAAAGACTATATTACCGTTCTCACATGCATTGAATAATCCCACTTTTAGTGATATAAAATTTTTAGTCGATTCACGAATTATTTATGGACATCAAGTTATTCTAGCGGAACGATCTCATTATTTCAAGACCCTGATAAAGAACGATTGGAATCTTGAGATTAAAGAAGACAAAACAGTACAAATACAAGAAGTTGATTATGACGTGTTTTACACGATCCTTTCTTATTTGTACACGGGAACATTGCTAGAAATAATCGGTGAAACAGATCTGTTAAAAATTGAAAAACTCCAAAAATTATTTAACGACGCGGAGATGCGAAAGACTCTTCACGTGGACGCAATTCATGAATTGACTGATGTTATTGTCGCAGAGTTGTCCGCACTGATAAATTATGATACTTGGGATAATTTGTTATTGTTTGGTTGGGAACGTGATATTTCACAACTTCGGAAAGCGGTTTATCGATTCGCTAAACAGAATTGGAAGGTTATTCGTGAGACGGAGGCTTGTAAAGGCATCTTACGTGATGCCAACGTGGATTTAGTTGAAGAATTCATAACCTCCTCAAGATAACCTATCGGTATTTGCTCCATAGATTTAATAATGAACATTAAATAAATCAAATCAACAGACAATATATATATATATATATATTCATTCTTGAAAAGTATGGGAAATTTTATTTACCCATCAACAAGAAGGTAATTTTTAATACGCCCAATTTATTTAAAACATTCCCATACTATTATAAAAATCAATCCACATTATTTCAAATTTAGATTGTTCACGAGTCGAATATGGATCCAAACAATTCTTGAATGTGAACCAATCGTTTTCTAATAATTGATTAGTCAAAAACTGCACTCTTTCATTTTTCTGATATTTTAAAGCCATCCAATGTTCACTCAATCTCTTTAATAATAAAATGTCATTCGATTCTTCGTTGTGTTGTTGGTGGTGGTGATGGTGGTTTTGAATTTCCTGATGATTTTGCTCAATATTTCTGTAATATAACTGTGGGTTTATTATTATCGAATCGTCATCATTATTATTACTACCATCAGTGATTAATCGGTGCACGTAATTTCTTTGGTGAATTTTTTTCTCCTGATTCATACAACTAATTAGTGTCTGACCATATAAATCGAAGATTTGGTAGCTCAATGACGAAAGCTGTGCTAGAATCCACGGATGTAACATCCAAAACTGATTTTCTAGTTGCACAGGAAACATCTCGCATTGTTGAGCGTCAGTTTTATGAATAATTGACAGGATCCAGCTTAATAATATTTCCTGTACTTTTTTAGCCTTGCATGAATTTTTGTAGCCGTCTTCATCAGTTAATATTATCGCGTGTGCAATTATTTGCTTTTTTTTTTTGGAATAATTAATTTGCCATAACGGCATTCGTTATTAAAGCCAAAGATCAAAGTAATCTTAGTGCGAAGATAGAAAGAAATGAAGTACTTTATAGTACCATTCCATCATAATTATTCATTGGAATCGAGGCTGCCTCTTCATGTATCTGATCCAGAAAGTGTGCAGAAATTTCTCCATCGTCATCAACCAACGAAGTAAATTTATCCAAGAGAGGACGAGCAGTTGCTCTTTTTGTTACGGTGTCCGGAAGAAGCTTGAATGAAAACTCATATAAGACAGATAATTGTTCTAAATAACACGATTTTATGGTTTTTACTATTATAAAAGCTAAATTAAAAATTTTATGCGGAAAGATGTCCTCTCACCAGGACGTTCGTATGAATGTTGTTCATTAATGGTCATTAGGCTTTCCTGCAACGTTAATCCCATTCCCAGTAAAACATCCACCGTAGCACAAGTCTGGCCAATTCTTCGTATATCCTAAAGGTAATAAATAATTTCTTTATAAAGATCGTTCATTATTAAGCTTTCTTAGAGAATTGATTTTTTTTACCTGCAAAAGGGAATCTTTTCCAATGCTGAAACTAGAAGCCGGATAAGAGCTCAACACATAATAGTATAAGTCGGCAGGTAAATTGTTATTGGACAACAATGAGAAATAAATTGAATGACGAATGCTGGCGATTTCATGGATCGAATAATGTGAATTTTCATTTCCAGTTACTTCAAGTATCTTTTGATAAATAGGAACAAATTCTTGTTCCGACATGCAAAGTACTTGGTTCTCAACTTCATAAGCGCATTGTATTGCGTCCTGTAAGTAGGATGTATCCCATTGAAGTACGCTGGTGGTTTTCGAGTACTTTAGAATATCGACAAGAACCAAAAGCTTGTTTAATAATGTCTCTGCGTCCATGTTAGAAAAATGAATTTTAGAAATGATTGTTGCCCATCATTACATGGGTGGGTATGACATAGTAGGCTTCATGCAAGCCTTGAAATGCCAAGAAATGTCTTATCGTTGTTTATTTATCGTTATGATTGAGAGAATACTTTATTTAGCTTTAGGGATACACGATGCATAAACGGGTCTGGTGTTGTTTGACGGTTATGCAGGAAAAAAAATTTTTTTGTGGAACTTTTTTTTTTGAAGTTTTGTAGTATATTCTCGAAAATTTCGAAAGTTAGAAATGGCATTGAACCTTTCTTACTATTATGGCTCAGCAAAGAGATATATTCGAATATTTCCTTATTATTATTATAATAGAAATGCTGTAACGTCTGACATTAATTATAATTATGAAATTATCTTCAAAAATAAAGACAAATCTCATTATAATTTATTGCATTTAAGCAAAATTTCTCCATTTGCCAACGGTGGTAATAAAGTTTCTTTGCATACCTCGTCGAATCAAAAAATGTCAACAAGAAAACCAGCAGCAACCACAATATTTGAGCGCGTGAGTGACAGTTTTAAGTTTTTCAAAAACTCCATTTCTAAAATGAAGGCTAGCCATCCAATTAACAATGCCAGGGATAGTAGTGCTATTACCATGAGTAATGTTAATGTTGATAGTTTCAAAAATATACCTCCTAGTATTAATACAAGTGGTGATATCTCATCATCATGGAATCAAACAATATCCGAAGCAGAGAAATTAGTACAATATGATCGGAGTAGTGCCGGTGGTAATGTAAACTTTAGAAATAGCAGCAGTATATCGTACATTGATCCAATTAAACTTTTAGGTAGTGATCTATTAGATTTGACACGGAACATCAAAAGATTACTGGGTAGTGGGCATCCTTTATTAGAATCAATCAGCAAATATTATTTCACATCACAAGGAAAACATATAAGACCATTACTCGTGTTATTAATATCACAGGCTACCAGCCTAGCACCAAAACAATACCAAACATCTTCATCAACGGATTATTACGAAATAATAGATTCTCCAATATCGCCTTCTTTTTCATCTTTAGAACTAGTGAACAAGTCACCAAAAGAGATATATCAACCGTCATTCTCTGCACAAGGGACATATATTCTACCGACACAACGTCGTCTCGCCGAAATCACCGAAATGATACATACCGCATCGTTACTTCATGACGACGTGATTGACATCTCGGAAACGCGTCGTAATCAACCATCGGCAAGCGCCAATTTCGGGAACAAGATGACGATATTGGCCGGTGATTTTTTACTTGGCCGTGCTACCATTGCTTTGGCACGATTACGAAATCCAGAAGTAATTGAGTTGTTCGCGACGATTGTCACGAATCTTGTTGAAGGTGAATTTATGCAATTGAAGAATATCAACAGGATCGATAATAGAAATAGTAGCAGCAGTCATAAGGAAAAAAACGAAAAAAGTTTCACGTTTGATTATTATATGGAAAAAACTTACATGAAGACCGCTAGTCTGATTGCAAATAGCTGTCGTGGTGCTTCGATTTTGGGCGGGTGTACGCGTGAAATCAGCGATATCGCTTACGATTATGGACGTAATTTAGGCTTAGCGTTTCAGGTAGGGTTTACTTTAGTTTATTCACATTTACATTGTCATTGCTTGATTGTTCTATTCGAATGAACGAAAAGATCGATTCGCGCAGTTAGTCAGACCCTGGGTGTACCATGTGAAAAAATAATTTATCTAATTTCGAGTAGCTTGTGGACGATATGTTAGATTTCACGTCCTCTTCCGACGAATTCGGGAAACCTGTAGGTGCTGATTTGAAGTTGGGGCTTGCAACCGCACCGGTGTTATACGCGTGGGAGGAGTTCCCAGAATTGGGGCCGTTGATTGATCGGAAATTTAAAGATAAAGGTGATATCGAAATGGTGAGTTTTTTTTGTTCATCTCAATTGGTGTTACTTTAGATATATATCTTCTAATTATTATTCTTATTATTTAATGCACACGTAAATAGACGCGTAATCTGGTATATCAAAGTAAAGGACTAGAAAAAACCAAATTATTGGCTGCGTCACATTGTAAGAAAGCCATTTCTTCGATCTTAAACTTACCTAAATCTGATGCACGGAGTGCACTTGTGCAATTGACAGATAAAGTTTTAACTCGTAAGAAATAAATCACGCTTATTTAATTATTCTATAATTGTAAATAGTAAATATTGCATGTATGCAGATCTCTATGTGATTATTTCTCCAAACATCACTGATGCTTTCTTAATTACAAAAAAAAACAAATTTTGACAATGGACGAAGAAGTGTATGACCAAGTGTTAAAGTATGAGGACGAACTTTACAAGGAAGAAGAAGCGTGGGAGTCTGCTGCGGAAAGTCAGATTAGCGATTCTCAAGATTTATTATTAAGTCACGTTTACTATAACAGTAAATTGGCAGCACCAGATATAGCTCAATCTAATAATAAATCTTCTGGGAGCCCTTTGTTCACCACTCCACAGACAAGTTTGAAGGAAGGTGAACGTCTAATGACCTCAAAACCAAAAAACAATAATAAACAGCAGTACGATTCCTCCACTTCTACTTATTATTCTAGAGACCGTAAGGGAAAGAATAAAGTAGACGTCGATGAAGTTCGTACTCCACCTTCTTACACTACTGCTAGGGATGAACGTTTCATGACTCCTGAGCCCAGATATAACCATGACAAAGATAATGACGCGTACTATGATTCAACGCCGACTAGAGCTAAGGGAAGTAATAAAGTTGATGCGAATAAATTTTGCACTCCTCCTAAACAGATAAGAGGTAACACATATCTCGAAGCAATTGTAATAAGTGACGATGATATCGAGACATCATCAGCATACACTATCCCTTATAATTCGAACGTTAGTAGCACTTCAACCAAAGCTCCGGAAACTGATTCGAAATATACAATTGGACGTACCAAGATCAAAAATAGTAAAGCATCCCCTAGTACATTGGGATCAAAGAAACGAATACAGCTCGGTAATACATCAGATTCTTATTCGTCTTCCGATACTGAATACAAATTATCTATAAAAAAGCAACCGGAATCACTACCAATCAGTGTACACTCTACACCTTCAAAAGATCCCGCTAACAGCACTACAACTACCGCTTTCGCCACTGATAATACTACCAATATGCCTGAAGGGATTTTCGTTAAAGAAATAATAACACCAGTCGCAACTCCCAGTCGATTCATGCAACCGAATTGTGAATACAATCTTCCAGAACGATCACCATCGGCAAGACGTAACACCAATAAAGCCAGCAACAGCAATCATCGATATTTTGATCTTCCGCCACGTCCTTGCCGAATATGTAATGAATCAGGGCATCACGAACGGAACTGTCAAAAAATAAATAATTGGTCACGTATCGATGATGATGACGATAATTATGATGACAATGATTTAACAAGTAAATGGAAACATTATGTATATAACCCGAATTCCGTCGATGGCCCTGTTTCAAAAGAACCATCCCCTGTGTGCTATGACTGTGGAGGGCACGGTCATTATGGTGATGATTGTCCTGGAAAAATGAGAGGTAGAGGAAGAAGAAATCATGCTTCAACGTCTAGTAGACTGTATGATCAAGATGATCGCTCTAGGCGTCGACGACGATATCGAGATGACTATGATCGATACGAGCCACATTTATATTATTCAGATGATGAATATTCTGATTCATATGATCGTCGTCTGTATCATTGCTGACTGTTTGCTATATAAGAAAATTAATATTCTGTGATAATTTGATAAGGTGAATGAGAAATCCATTTGTTTAATTATGAAGGAATATATGTTGGGAAGAGATTAAAAATGCTACCACTATTATGTTCAGAACATTGACTCGTTTAAGCAACTCTGATTGCTGTCATTTATTTGGTAATGCAAATATTCATACAAAATAGATATGCTCAATTATTTGCCCGCTCAAATGATGTTATTGCTAAGAATGTGAAATTCTTATTGATCTTGACTCTAAGGCAAATAAACGTAAGCCGAAGCATAGCTCACACTACTATCAAGTACGTCGGTCACCTGCTTGGACTGTTTATAATGAATAAAGCGGATTTCGGGAGTTTTCATCGCTGGTGTTGATGTATTAGTTTGCAATTCTTGAAGAGCACAAACTAATACGGCAATTGGATGTCGACCACAAATTGTATTTCGTGTTTTTGATAGATACGAAACAAATTCTTGGTGATCGATATGTTCGATAATTGACATCCCTTGACGGTCGAGATTCTCGATGGATTGATATATTGGAATCGTAAGTTCGGTTTTAGATTTGCGTGTTAGTTGAACCGTCAGGTCTGAATCATCGGAGTAATAGGTATATTGGAATCGTAGTCCCCTGATATCACGCGTATAGATAATGAATGAATGAATGAATAACCAAATCATCTTTACAAGTAATTTGTTAAAAGATGTAATGATGATACCAGTGACAGAAATCAGAGGAAATAATGAAAAAATTATTTGGATCAGCCAAGTATCGACTCAACAATCGTCCATAGAATTGTTCTTGCGACGTAGACAATGCACCCACTAATATTGGTACAATCTTTATGGAGTTGATCTTGCTAATAGAACAGTAATACGAATCGAATTAAAAGAATAATTCTCATGATTATGAGTGAATAGAGACAAGATAAGCACCTCTCGAAAGTTTTATAGAGATAAGGTAGATGCATTTCGATACTATGCTCTGCTTCATCCTCTTTCTTTGCCAGGTCTGCAAAATGGCCGGTATCTCGCAGTTCTCCGATGACTACATTATCAATAATAGAGTAAACAAAAAACAAAACAGAAAAAAGAGTGAATTCATTCTTTTAAACCTTCAGTGTCTAGAATAAGGTTTCCAAATGGCGTCTCGTATTCTGTACACCGAGAAAGAGCACAATTTGGCAGGTAAATGTGATGCGAAGGGCCCAGGATAAACACACGTTTGCTATCATAGTAAATATAATTCGACCAATTAAACAAATGATAATCGAAATAACATTAGTATAGCTGCTTCGAGAACTTACATTGCTTCTATATCAATGCACTTATAAGCGTAAGCTGCTGAAGGTCCGCTGTAAGAATACCCTGCATGACTTTATATATAAATCCGATTGAAACTATTAGCGCGTGCATTTGAGAAATAATTAAGGTGTGGAGAAACTCACGGAGCAATTATGGCACGAGCACCCTTTACTGGGATTGGAACGCCCTTTTCAGTCGTTGGAGGAACTTCTTCTAGCCATTCAGAAAGCTGCTCATTCAAAACCGAAGCTTTTTTTTATTTGTATCAATGAGTTGAAATATTAAATATACAAGTGCGTAATATTGTAATATTTTTAAAAGGAATTCACCATTCTCAGTATACCAAGAGCCAGCATGAGAAGCGTATCTGCTCATGTTGTGTGGAAAATTGATCCAATTTGTGAGTATTAGACTATCATTTCACGTGGTATAATTTTTTTTATAGGATACGATACTCTTGGTATTATTGAGGTCATCTGACCTTATATAAGTTTAAAGATCTATACTAAGGATTCAAACCAACCCATCAAGTTCTGATACCAGCAAAACAACAGTTCCAATAAGGATATCGAATTAGGGTATTTTGACGAATTGGGGTATTTTTGACGAATCAAGTGATTTTTACACCATTTTAATTCGTCATGTACAGACGAATCGAATTGTGTTATTGTCACGTGGTTTCCATATCCAGATAATCACCGAACATCAAATATAGATTTTTAAGGGTGATCTCTCGATACCAACTGATTTGAATCACGTGAGAACACCACCATTCGATTCGTCTAAGAATGACGACTCGAATGTTTGGTGATTTCAATCTCTAGTTAAAACAAATAACCCCCAAAATGGTTTTTATATTATGTATCAAGTTTTTTTTTAATAATTTTAACTTTGTCAAAATACCCCGATCTCCCTTATGTTTTAGAATTATAATTATTTAAATATTTTGGCGTGTTCTTAATTGGTCAGAATAAATTCCGTTGCATCCTATCATCTACAACGATTTTCCGTCTTTTTTTTCATTTTTTCAAATTAATTAATTAATTTAACAATATATAATTAATTTAGACGATAATTGGTCGTAGCTATTGTTATAGAAAGCTCTTGGCCACATTACCCAAAAACAGCAGCGGTAGTGATATTGCTGGTGGAATGAGCGCACCGCACCCAAATTACTCTTTAGGGGGACGTGGTGGCGTTGCAGTAGAAGATACTTTCGAACTGGTCGAGTCTTCTTCGCATTGGGAACGTTTCACGACTTTGGTTGAAGAGGTTTTGACCGGGTGGGGAGTTACTGACGGGAAACTTGGAAACTTTGAAGAATTTGATTTGTACAATTCTCAAAAGAGTAGCATTATTACTAATAATGATACTAATATTACTAATAATAATATTGAGCATGGAATAAAGTCTCTAATGAAAAAATCAAACATTATACTCGATGAAAGCTCTTATACCTTATATTATCATTATTATCATTATCCGATTGAAAAAGATGCTGATTACCAACAACAAAATCTTGCAAGGAATTCAAAATATTTAAGACAACCGTACATAAAATTGTTTCAGAAACACAATCATAATAAAGATGATGATCATGATAATATCATAAATCGTCATAATCCAGCCTCGGAATTTCTTCCCATCCATTCTATTTATAATAGTAACAAAAATAATAATGATCCACGAACGAAATTCGATAAAATACACCGATGGACTGGTCTCACACACATTCTCGTATTAATTCCAATGTCGAGATCAGATCCTGCTGGTTGCATGCCATCCACCACAAAAATGGATCTGTACACGACAAAAGAATTAATTTCCGCTTTTGAAAAAGCTTTTCATAACACACGATGTAATCTTCCCGTTTTTATTCCGATTGGTCAACTTGTTAATTCTTTATATAATGGATATATGTGCTGCTGGATAAATGATCACAATGACAAAGAGGCAGCTGAGGAAAAGGGAGTAGATGATACGAAGATGAAAGATTTCAAAGTGGAATTACGCTTCAATACTGCTTTACTACGTGACACTTCCATTGGAGATTCACATTTGGCTGGATTGACTGAATATTTTGCGCAACGAGTCAAAACTATTAATATTGGTAAGTGTTTAAATGAAGTAAAATTATTTCTTGAAAATTAGTCGTTTTTCTTCTTTTGTATCATAATTATCATATGTGTCTATAAATATGCATACATAAAATATATAAACAATTGCTATATGCTTAAGTGTTTATGATGTGGTAGAAATTAATTAGATCTGATCCAGATATCGTTTCAATCGGGTTCGGTTAACAGATTCAAAAAATGACGACTCAATTAATGAATATAACAAAGAGAATGATGATGACGATTATTCAAGAGACGGAGGATCAAACATCGTAACAGTAGCTGGGTTATTTACGTATGAACTACAAAATTGGGATGATGAAGATTGGAGAAGATTGGATGATGAAAACAGTGACTTGAGTCGACCACTGGAAAGCGTGAATACGTCTTTCGAAGAAGATTTATTTCTCGATGAAACAGACAATGTCACTGTATTTGTTGATCCCGGATCAACTGTTAATAACCCTACCAATACTATGGCATCAATCGCTTCTGATCCTATTCCGATTTCCGCTAATACGCCAACATCAAAGTCTTCACCAGTTGAGATAATGAACGTTCGGAAGTCAACAGGAAATTCAGATTTTTCAGCTATTCATCATCCAAGTTCTATCTCAAATCTACCCTTTGGGCCATCCAAAAATCCACTGGAATCAATTATTTTGACAGCTTTTTTCCCCTCCGCGCCTCAAGACTTTTATCTCAAGAATGACGTATTTAGTGAAATGGATGCTGGCAGTGCACCTGTTTGGATTATAAAGTGTAACTTTGCACTCGAGAATTCTTCTCCAACCTTACTTTCGGGTATCTTGGAGAATCTAATTTATTCATGGATTAGAGATCGATCAACATCAAGTGGTAGTGGTTATGCGAAAAATTCTAAATCTATTGAATCAAAAGTTGCTAATGGTAACACTACCAACATTACAACAAGCAGCAGCAACGGTAATAGCAATAACAGTTATAATTATACCAAAAAATCAAAACTCGCTGGAAACTTAAGGGCATCCGAATTACAAACGTTTGAAACGATTCGATCGCCGCGTGGTGGAGTTGCCATTGTTGACACTGGAGATATTGATAATTTTGTACAGGCATTATTTGATCCTTCCCGATTTTCAAAAAATTCGTCATCATCTTCATTATCATACACAAGTATGAAGACTTGTGATGGAATCGATCTTGTCTCTACGATTGATCTTAGTCATAATATAAGAAATACTTCGTTTGTTCCTTATAAATCATTTTTATGGAATTTACTTGAATATCTGCTGGAAACCGTGTCATCAACATCAAATTTTCAGCATTGCTCATCGTTCATCGGATCTCTTAAAATAGTATGGACTGAAGTATTAAAGCACATTCGTACATATTGGGAACGTGGAGATAACATACCAAATCTTAATATTGTTAATAATACTAATGCCCAGAATAATAATGATAATAATACGAATAATGAAGGAAATGTTGTAATTGATATTCGCACTAATATTTTACATCAAAAACTTTGCATGATCAATCACTGCATAACGCGTCTACGAAAAATGCAAAAAGAAAATCCAAAGCTATCCAGTAGTCCAATTTCCTATAAGCCAAGGGTTTCATCGACCAGTTCCGTTGCGTCGTCATTTAATTCCATTAATAATACGATGAATAAAGGGGGATTTATGTCTATAGCGGAACAGAAACAGAAAATTTTATTCTCGGATGGAAATAACGGAGGGATTATTGGTTCTCTTGATGATACTGATTCTGTTTGTTCTATTAATGATCCTTCGGTGTCGGTTGTTTTGGTGGGACAAGGAAATTCAAGTGGTGCAATTGAAAATTCGAGCACAATTAATGTTTCTCCCAATATGGATGATGTGAGTCACTAGCATTGTCATATTTGCTTTCTCTGTGGTTAAATTGCTGTAATGGACATTGTTATTAATCAATACGGATTGGTGATTTTTTGTATATTATAGACGCAAATATCAAATGCCGATTCATCCTTTATTGCGGAATCAGATGATGAAGCATTCCTTACTGATGTTTCTGCATCTCCATTAGGTATTCCTCGTAACTCAAAAAATAATAATGTTTCTAGATCCATTTCATATCATCGACGATCTCCCTCTTTCTCCCATGGTCAATCTTTTTCCCCTACTCAATCCTTATTCTCTGATCAATCAGATCAAATTCCTCATTCCTCTTCATTGACCGAATCTTTTATTCAACTTAATTATTCATCGAGCATGGAATCTGCATCTGGGTTTGATTTTATTGGTAAATCACCGCGAAATGATATTACCAAAAGTTCAAGTAAAGGCGTTGCATTAGAGCAAAAAGAAGGAGATGAGTATTTCGAAGTAAGGGATGAAAATATGAGAGAAGGTCATTCGCGTGTGTCTGAAAAATATACTTTAATTAAGACGAAAGAACCCATGTGGGAACCTATAACTCAGGTATTTATTTTAGTCTTTAATATTATATATGCACTAACACGTATATGTGTAAAATAACAAATAGGATAGTGGTATTATGACTGAAGATATGATAAGAGAACAACAAGAATACTTTGAAAAATTGGGAACGTCAGAGGAAGCAGCTAAAAAAAGATTTCAGATTCAATCTGCACCTTTAAAGTCCGGCAAGTCATTATTTTGCAATGATAAAATTCCGACCATACTTTTATATATACAAAATAAGTTAAACTTTTTATTTAAAATTAACATAAAAGATATGGAAGCTTTTAAAGCTGCAAATCCACATGCTATATTTGAAGACTTTATACGATGGTATTCTCCGCGTGATTGGATTCCCGATGAAAACGGTGATCCGAATTCAGGAAAGCTGAGTTCTCGTATGTCAAAGGAAGGTTTCTGGAAAGAATTATGGAAGGTTAGTTTGTTTATTGTTGAATATATATTATCATCAAAAGTAAAATAATTGCATTTGCGCGGATCATTTGATAGAGTTCTCGAAGGATTCCGGCAAGTCGGCAAAAACCCTTATTTAATCATAGTCGAGAAGGAGAGAAGGTATTATAAGGATGTTGAATTGTTCAAATTTCACGTACAATTTAGTATGGATGATAATTAATATTCATTTTTTCAGGCCTTACGATATCTTGAACAATTATCCATGCAAGATTTGTTTAACCAGTTAGTATATTTAAAATTTGTTCAATTATAATATATATATTTGCAAGTTTATTAACTTATTTGACTGTATAAATAAAGTCTACTACCTACAGTGTTCCTTATAGCTTACGACACATTATTAACACACCCAGTCACTAAACATATGAAACCGGTAGCAATGGGTGTATCCTTGTTGTCAAAAGAATTAATGAGCTTCCCTTGGCCGGATTTAAAGTAAATAAATTAATAGTTAAATTATTCAATTAATTATTCATTCTAATGTGTTGATTGTCAATACACGTTTTAAAATAGAACTGAAAATGCATTTGAGAAAATTCTAGAGAGAATCCGTGAGAATGAACTGATAATGGGAAAAGCAATATCTCTATTACGCAAGGTAATCAAAATCTTGTATGTTGTGCTAAGATATTGTTGCAAAAAATACTAACCATTTTTTTTGCTTAGCTACCAAAACAGTTCTATTTAGTAGAACGTATCTTAAAAGATCCAGAAACTACTGTAGCAAATGAAACAGAACGTGAAGCAGTTCGAGAATTGTTTGCTTCCGGAGGTAGGGGGCACAATAAATTAGTTTCGACTTATCTTACATTATAATAAATAAATATAACTAATGACCATAATAATGTTTATAACAGCATCACTTAACAGTGCATTTCCACTACCAACATCACGCGAATTCGTCTTACAAACAACAACGAAACTTGTAATACTTCCAAATATTTCAATACATATACCCTTGAGAATGTATGTGCTGTCAAATGAAAACGGAATACGTGTCATCGAAATGATTGGTAAACAAATAATAGATTAACCAAAAATATGAAATAGACATTTTTATAAAAGTATTTTATATTAATATATAATTATCCTTATTTAGATTTATGTAGCAGATATTTTAAACAAAAAATTTGTAAATTATTATTTTTAGAATATATAATTATATTATTTTATGAGATATAATAATGCGTGTTTGATTATTATATAATGATATGCTTTAACAGATATAAGAAAGAATTAATATTTAATAAATTGCAAGTAATAAAAAATTTATAAATGAAATTACATTTAATAAAACTAAGAATGCTTGCTGAAATTCATGAATTTCGCAGATAACAAAATGTCAAAGCTGATTATAATAAATTATTAATATATACTCATCTTAATTATTACATTAAAAATTAAAACTATAATAAATTATTAGTATATTATCTAGTATATAAATTTATAGATTAAAATTTTTGAAAATTTTTTATATTTGATTTTCTTAAGTATTAGTTTTTTTCTAAGCTCAAATTAAAATATATTATATATAAATTATTTAATATAATATTGATTTGAAATTTAAGTAAAAATTTAAGTAATATAATAATTTTAATATAGTTAGATCTTTTTATAATCATATTTCTCTATAATTACATTTTTTTATAATTATTTTTTTTGAGTTTTTTAGTTATTAATTAATTATAATTAAAATATCTTTTTATAATCATACTTTTTATAGTTATTTAATTTATTTTCAAGCATAATAATTATAAAAAGATTTGATTATATTAAATACATTAATTTCAAGTTTTATTTTCTTATTTTTATTTTTCTTAAAAATATAGAATTATATTTTATAATAAGAATAAATATATTATTTTTAATATTTTATTATTAGTATTTTTTAAATAATTTAGATTTAAATTATAAGAGTTATTATTATTATTATCTAACATGAATTATTTATTTGAAATTATTATTATAACTTAATAAACTTAATATTAATATTTTTAAATTAATATACTAAAAAAAATTTAATTAATTTAAATTTAATTTAAATTTGATTTATAATTCATTATAAATATAATAATAAAATTCTAATTCTAATTAAAATTATAATTTTAATTATAAATATAATTAGATTTTTCTATAATTACATCTTTTTATAGTTATTATTTTTTAAGTTTTTCAGTTACTAATTAATTATAATTAAAAACTCTTTTTATAATTATATTTCTCTTTAATTATTCAATTTTACTTTTTAAATATAATAATTATAAAGAAATTTAATTATATAAAATATATTTGCTATTCAAAATTTTAATTTTAATTAAATAAAATTAATTTATTATTATAAATATATATTTTTATTTATAAGTATAAATATATTTATTTTTAAAATTTTAATTTTAAATAAATAAAACTAAAATATTATTATTATAAATATATATTTTTATAAATAATAATATTTTATTATAAATTATCTTAATAAAATATTTAACTCTAAATAAAAACTATAACTTATAATTATTTTAAGTATTTCTTATTAAAAAATTTAAATATTATTAAAAAACTAAAATATTTTAATTTTTAAATAAAAAATAATTAATTTTAAATATTAAATATTTTATTAAATATTAATTTTTTATTATATAATATCTTATATAAATTATAATTTAGAATTTAAATTATAATTTTATTTATTAGAATTACTTTAATAATTTAACTTAAACTAAAATTAAACTTGAATTTTAATTAAGCTTATATATAAAAATTCTAATTTAATTTTCTAAATTATTTTAAATTTAAATTTAAGTTTAAGTTTAAGTTTAAGTTTAATTTAATATTTTTGTAATAATTTTGATTGGATTATCTTTCTTTAGATTTCTTTTAGTTTAGATCTTTATTTTGCATTATCTGTATAACAGATTAGCTTTGTATTACATTTTCAAAAAGATTAATTTCACTCTGGATATACAGATGATCATTATGTATTTAATACATCTAGATTTAGCACATTGTTACTCAGATAATCATCATGTATATCATAATTATTAATTTAGATTATTAATATTTTTCTTTTAATAATTCTTTATTTTCTTACTTATTCTCTTTTAT